GTATTGTGCTTTAGTTTGTATATCTAAGTTATCTAACTAATTTTTGTTCAGTTTTGGTATTAAATACGCCTTTTGACAGTTTGTTTACGTTTGCTAATTTTAGCAGTTTTTGTGACATAAAACTGACATTTGAAGTATTTAAATAGTATATTTTTCAGGAGGTCGCGTAATTTTGAAAACGAGTGTATATATAAATTTGCGAGAAATATGCGAAATGAATACTATAATCCAATAACGAGTTTTAGAAACTTCCTCGTACGACAACAATACTGAGTTAAGAAATTTAAATTTATTGTAATTTATATGCACAACATTCACAACACCACCTTTGATGTTTTGATGGCCTGCGAGAGTTTCCCCGTTTAATAGACTTAATAACACAAATATTTGAAACTTTAAGGTAAATTCGATTACAGTATTCATTTCATATTTCTCGCAAATTTCTAAACACCTTTATTTAATACGCCCTCTTCCCCACGAACACAAAATAAACGAATTAACTCTATTTTCGTCTAATTATGATTAACACTAAATGGTATATCTGCTATAAGAGCTATATCTATACAGGCATACAACTGTATTTACATGTGAAACGGCCACATTTGATATACGCATGAGTTTCCTCGACAATAGTGGCACAAAGTCCCACATGACTGTGCGTGTTCCTAAGATTGAACGCTATTAAATATCTGTTTATTCAAAACACTAAATAAATAATAGTAATTTATACCAACCTAATAGGTCCAGGATATGACTATTCCTTGACCGACCTATTATCCGCAATTCCCGCCAAAACTCTCACGACTGAGTGCAATTCCCGCCTACACTTTTACGACTGAGTCAGTACAGGACTGAGTCCGTGTACCGTCGCTTGCAGGATGAACGGTCGTTCATAAAAAAATATTGCCTATTCGCGTGAGAATCTTCGATGTTTGCCAAGAGCACTTGCAGGGCCGTAGCAACCGGGGGGCTGCAGCCCCCCCAATAATTTGCTAATAATCATTCTTTTTTCAAAATCATGCAAACTTTATCATTTAATCTGTGACAAACTGCAAAGAATGAAGATATTACTCATACTCCAGATCGTTCCTCGCGTAGAAATTTTAGCTGAATTTCTGTCGCGCATTTTCAAGAAAATCCCACAAAATCGGCACATTTTTGATGAACTAATGATTTATTTTGTCTTTTGCGTGTTGGGTCTTGCGAAAGAAAACTCTGAAAATGCCATTTCAGACCATCTAGAGACTCCAGATTTTCGAAATTTTCTCAAATGTTCTGCCTTCATTTCCGCGCAACTGCTATTTACGACGAAAATTCCCGCCGCGCATTTATAATACTACAGTCTGGCCCATACTTTCCTGTAAATTTCGACATACTAAAACGCTGTTTTCTGACTATCAGAATTCTGTTAAATCTTCCCCCAAAGTCCAGGAAATGGCATTTTAGAGACTCTAAATTTAAAAATTTCCTCGGGCCTTTGGCCCTCGCTTTCAGCCCCCCCAATCGAAAAGAGCTTCCTACGGCCCTGACTTGACAGGTTTTGATCTGATTTTAATCTGTTCAAGAACCAGATCCAAGCTTTGAAACCAATGATCATCATAAACATTGAATTTTCTCGGTAAAAACATTGAACTTTGATATGAGAATAGACAATACTTTAATGCGACCGTTCATCCTTAGTGCATTCAGGAAATGAGTCCGCCTTTTACAAATTGCAGCCCGCGATTTGTAAAACACGGACTCAGTCCGCGTTTTACAAATCTTAGTTCGCGATTTGTAAAACACGGACTCAGTCCGTGTCCGTGTTTTCCCCGGTCCAGTCCAGTCCAGTCCAGTCCGTGTTTTACAAATTCAGTCCGCGATTTGTAAAACACGGACTCAGTCCGCGTTTTCTCGGTCCAGTCCACTCCAGTTCGGTCCAGTCCAGTCCAGTCCGTCTTTTACAACATGCCGTAAATTTCAACATACTAAAACGGTGTTTTCTGACCATCAGAATTCTGTCAAAACTTCCCCCAAAGTCCTGGAAATGGCATTTCAGAGACTCTAAATTTAAAAATTTCCTCGGGCCTTCGGTCCTCATTTTCAGCCCC